TGAAAACATAAACTGATTTCCCCAATAGTNAGAAATAGGCGTCCAAATCCTTTATAAAGTGAAGTAGGTCGACCACCGCCTAAGTGGGTCCCATTGGGAGCTGCTTGCGCGGTCTCGCGAAAATGCGAATATCTCTCTACTCCGATGTCGTATTGACGAATGGTTTAATGCGTTGGAAACTAGACTCGTAGATCTTCAATTTGATATGTAGATCATCCATTTATGCCAAGCATATTGGGAGAAAAGTGCATCTACATTTGACCTAAATTTCAGCACATTATAAATGCAACTTGTGATGATCTTTGCTAACTTTTGTTCCATAACTCGTTTGACTTAAAAACATAACACACGACTATCATACGACTACAATAACTCATAAATTAACCTCCTCATCATGTTAATCACCCTAGTCTCACCCCAAAAGAATATGTTATAACATTCCAAACTTGTCGATTTTTGACGAAACTTATTTTCTTCAATTCGTTTAGCGACTAAGCTTTCCAACCCTTTTGGTACTTGTTATTCATGATCTTAAATATTTGTAACCTCCAAGGTAACATGATTAACTTAGTTTATTTGCTTCCAAATATAATCTCATTTTCGAGCTTACATCAATGACTTACGACGTACTCTCACGTATGAAAACTTGGGGTGTAACACATGTTTTCTATGTGAAAATGCAGAATTGAGAGAATATACACCCTATAGGCATGGTATCTACGTGAAAATGCAGAATTGAGAAAGTATACACCCTATAGGCATGGTATCTATGTGAAAATGTAGAATTGAGAAAATATACACCCTATAGGCATGGTATCTACGTGAAAATGCAGAATTGAGAAAATATACACCCTATAGGCATGGTATCTACGTGAAAAATGCAGAATTGAGACAATATACACCCTATAGGCATGGTATCTACCCCTTTGGCATGCATTCTATCCCATCCCTTTTCACTATACCCAGTAGTTATTACAAGGTTCATTACAAATCTTATGACAGACCAAGTGAATCAAAAGAATAAATAAAAATACATTAGTGATTACATCTACATCTAATCAGCCTAATCCAGAGTCAAAGTCTAATAATATGAGATAAACCAACTTCCACGATCGGATTTTTCAAAGCCTTTCCCTTATTTGGGATGTGTCAAAGTTCCAAGGAGCTTCAAGAGTTCCAGGCAGTGCTTACACCCCAAATATTATTGCAGAACAGATTATAGTGGAGTGGAAGGGCCAGCCCTCAAGTGTCCAAGTTCAAAGGGAACTCAAGGTCCCAAGGCAAGGCTCACAAGAGGGGGGCGGGACTTAAGGGCTTAGGAGTAAGTGTAAGTGCAATGAAAAGGAATTAAGAGGGGAGCCAGGGCAGACTGGTGGTCATGCCTAGCACCTGGGCTGCTGGCACACCCCTGACCAGCTTGTCAGCTTAAAAATTAGAGAGTTAGGACCCTTTGAGGGTCAGGTTCAGCCATGGACAGCAATTTAGAGGCTGCCAGGCTATACCTTAACTCTATACACATAAGGGAATGGGGGTATGGGAGATTGAAAGAGGCTGGGATCCAAAGGACCCAGTCTTAATCCATGACAACAACTTTGTATGTTGCCATGTCTTAAACTATAGCCCAAGCACATAAAGGGGAATGGGGATAGGGATTCATTGCAATAACAGATAGCCAAACATAAGTAATCATTTTAAAACTGAACTCTATAAAGCAGTAAATTAGGCATGGGCATAAAAGCTTGTAAGTAAACACATTGGATTTTGATGCTTCAATCAAAAGTAGGACATACCAGTTCAGAAGAGCAAGTAGGAGGAAACAGTAGATTTAGGGAAGCCAAATTGCAATCAAGAAGCAAGAGTGTAAGTTTTAGAAGAGAGTTGTGATGATTAAAATCGTCTGTGTTAATGAAAGAGCAGGGTATTTATAATTGCAAACAGGTGTAGCAAATAAGGCAAGAATCATAGTTTAGTAATAATTAAGGAACTATGTACCAATTAAAATCAATCAGCCTATAGACTTCCTTTAATTAAGGAGTCCAAATTCAAACGGTAATGGGCAGAAGTTATTTAAGGAAGGAAATCAAGTAAATACCTCGTGCAAGGTAGACAAATAAGGGTAAATACATGGTGGTACTTGATTTGTAAAACAAGGAAAGGGAATCAGTAAAATAACCAGTAAAGAATCCCATTGAAAGCCTTGATCGAGTCAGAAAAGAGGTAAAAGGAAAGTTTTAATTTAGGGAAAAATCAGTAACAATCAAATAAGCAACATTAAAGGAATTCAGAATCAATTAACAGTTGGCAAGACCTTTGAAAGAGAAGCTCTCGTATAAAACACATAGACATGTCAAGCAAGAGGGTTTCAAAATCACAAACGCTGAAAAAGGTTCAAATTTAATTCATAAACTCGAAGTGAGTCTGAGAGTTCAAGGTTTCAAAGTAGAACCCTTGTCCAAACATAAAACCAAATTTAGCCAAAGAAAACCCCAAATCCTAGGGTTTTTAAACTCGAATTTGATACAGACATGAAGAGGCAAACTATCGAGATGAGCTCAGAGACCTTTTCAGAGTCTCATGAGAAGCATACAAGCACAATAGCAAGTAGAACATAGGAACCAGTACAGGAAACAAGTTTCAAGAAAGCTTGAAAATTAAATGAGTTCAGGTAGTGTAAACTTAAAGAAACAGTCGATGAAACACATCTAGAAAGAATCCAGGCGAAGTCCGGTAAAGGCAAACAAAGGATCAAAACTCAGTAGGAAAATACAGTAGAGGAACACATAAGATAGACATGAGAGAGCATGGTGAAAAACCAGTATGAGATAGAACGGAGCATAATAAAATAAATTTCATAACAAGGCAAATATAAGAACACACGAAAGGCATGTGAGTCAGAAAAGAGCCAGTAAGAACATAGCAGGGATCGATTCACACCAAGAAAAGAGAAGAAGAAGAGTCAGAAACATTTTAAGGACTTTCCAGAAACCCTAATCGAAAAGAAGTGCTTTTTGAAAGAAAATCGAAAAAAAAGGTTTAAGAAACTTAAGCAAACAGTGACAACATATAANAAGCCATGGACGCCGGTGAAAACATGGTGGAACAAGGTAGGGGAGGCTAGGGTTCCGGGGAGCCTTGAGAGAATTTGGGAGTTCAAGGGCGGCTGAAGGAGGAAGAAGTCCGTGAATTAAAAAGGAAATAATCAATCTGAGCCGTTGATCTTCTAGATCAACGGCTGAGATTAAAAGGGGGGATCCAATCGGTTTTTATGGATAGGGTCGGTTTAAAGTTCGGGCTGGTTGCGATTGGGCTCAATTGTGGTTAAAATTGAAATTGCAAAGGGGTTATAGTTGAAATGGACGAGGCTAAATGTTAAACAGCCATTTCTTCCGTTTTTATTTTAAAAATAGTTAAAATAATTTCTAAAACCAGTTAAAAGCACTAAATTGATTAATAATCATATAAATATTAATTAAAAGTACTGGGAGCAATTTTGTAATTGCAAAATACTGTTAATCGGAAAATAGGCTGTAATTGCAATTATAGCAATTTAGCCTTTAAAATACCAAATAAACTTTATAAAAATGTGCAAAAAATCACATTAATTATATCTTGGTGTAAATATGAAATAAAAATAAATTATTCATCAAAAAATGATAGTCTGGAAATAATTATTGAATTTTGTACAATTAAAATAGACAACAAATTGATTTTAAAAACCCTTTAAAATAAGGGAAAGATACCAAAACTCTTGGGCATGCTTATTGGATTACAGGGCGACGCGTCTCTTAGGGTTGGGGTACAATTTCGAACTNATTCATAAACTCGAAGTGAGTCTGAGAGTTCAAGGTTTCAAAGTAGAACCCTTGTCCAAACATAAAACCAAATTTAGCCAAAGAAAACCCCCAAATCCTAGGGTTTTTAAACTCGAATTTGATACAGAGATGAAGAGGCAAACTATCGAGATGAGCTCAGAGACCTTTTCAGAGTCTCATGAGAAGAATACAAGCACAATAGCAAGTAGAACATAGGAACCAGTACAGGAAACAAGTTTCAATAAAGCTTGAAAATTAAATGAGTTCAGGTAGTGTAAACTTAAAGAAATAGTTGATGAAACACATCTAGAAAGAATCCAGGCGAAGTCCGGTAAAGGCAAACAAAGGATCAAAACTCAGTAGGAAAATACAGTAGAGGAACACATAAGATAGACATGAGAGAGCATGGTGAAAAACCAGTATGAGATAGAACTGAGCATAATAAAATAAATTTCATAACAAGGCAAATATAAGAACACGAAATGCATGTGAGTCAGAAAAGAGCCAGTAAGAACATAGCAGGGATCGATTCACACCAAGAAAAGAGAAGAAGAAGAGTCAGAAACATTTTAAGGACTTTCCAGAAACCCTAATCGAAAAGAAATGCTTTTTGAAAGAAAATCGAAAAAAAAGGTTTAAGAAACTTAAGTAACAGTGCAAACACGTAACAGATCTAAAATAATCGGAGAGAACCTCGATATTTAGGGTTCCAGATGAACCCTAGAGATGAGAAAGGCTTCCAAAATACCCAATCTAAGTCGGATAATGTCATAAACAGGCTCAAAAGACCAAGAGCCACCGGAGCAAGGCCGGAGATGGCCGGAATCTTCGAATCAGTGAAGGCTTGGGTGAAGACCCTCCAGGTCTGGCCTCGATCCTTCGAACAACAGGCATGCAATTATAGCAATTTAGCCTTTAAAATACCAAATAAATTTTATAAAAATGTGCAAAAAATCACATTAATTATATCTTGGTGTAAATATGAAATAAAAATAAATTATTCATCAAAAAATGATAGTCTGGAAATAATTATTGAATTTTGTACTATTAAAATAGACAATAAATTGATTTTAAAAACCTTTAAAATAAGGGAAAGATACCAAAACTCTTGGGCATGCTTATATATGCAGGTACATACTATTTTGAGAATATTTTGAGTATATAAAATACATAGGAAAAAATTTGGTATCAACAATGAGATGCTCCAGAGTCGAGAATCCAGGGATTTTCTGATGCGTGCATTCCCAAAACATAGTTGGCCTTGGCCTTAAAATGATTGTGAGATCTGGATCTGTATACACTTGCAACATGACCTGGTTTGTTGCACAACTGGCAGCGAACACCATCATAAGAGTTGTTGGTGTTCGAAGATCGCCCCTGATTTTGTGAATTAAAGCGATTGTTGTATCTCCATTGTTGGTTGTTGCCATTGTTGTTGTTGGAGCGACGATTGTTGTGATTGTTGGAGTTTCCAGATTTGTCGAATGTAGCAGCAGCAATAGTAATTTGGCTAGGAGCTTTCTTTGACTCTTCATGTCTAAGGAAAAGCTCATGATCAAGAAGATTCTCATAGAGTTCTTCATACGTAATAGTGGAGTCACGAGCACGAATTGCGGCAGGAATCTCACGAAACTCTGGTCCTAGACCACTCAGGATCTTAACAATGAGTTCAGAGTTTGTGATAGGGGCACCAGCAGTTGAGAGTTCGTCAGCCATGGATCGAAAGTTTTGCAAATATTCAGTGACTGGTTGGGAGTCTTTTTGTGAGTCGCGCAAGTCGATCGCGAAGGCTGAAAATTCTGGTTTGGGACTTGTTAGCATATGCAGCGTGCAATGCATCCCAGGCATATACTGCTGAATCAGCAGCTGCAACAGTAGTGGCAATTGTTGGATCAACAAATGCCATAAGTGCATTTTGAATAAGTTGGTCCTGACGAAACTAAAGAGCAAATGCAGGATTGGCACTAAGGACTGTGCCAGTTGTGATAGTGCGAGATGGAGCAGGAGTCGACCCATCTAGATGACCATAAAGATCATGACCATGCATAAGCATGGAAAATTGCGCCTTCCAAGTTGTAAAGTTGTGGCTGCCTTGTAATTTTATTAGCAATTATGATGCAGGATTAAATTGGACGACTATCACAGCACTATTTTTATCAGCATTAAAACCTCCAGTAGTGTTGGCCATTTGTGGAGGGTGGGTGGGAGAGAAAAAAGATAGGATGTAACGACCCGACCGGTCGTTTTGAGCTCTAGCACATCGTTCAGCGGTTTGAGGCCAGGAGCAGCTTCACTTAAGGTATTATGACTTGTACGCATGGTCGGAATTGAATTTCGGGAAGTTTGGAATTTATATGGAAAGAAAATCCACATTTCAGAAGCTTTAAGTTGAAAGAATTGACTAAGGTGATTTATGGATAAACGACCTCAGAATCGGGATTTAAAGGTTCCAGCAGGTTCGTATGATGATTTTGGACTTGGGCGTAGGTCCGGATCGGGTTTTGGATGACCCGGGAGCGTTTCGGCGCCTATTGTGGAAGTTAGCATTTTGGAAGAATTTTATTAGTTTGGGTTGAAGTGCATTTCAGTGTTAGCGATGTCCATTTGGGATTCTGAGTCTGGGAATAGCTCCATATGGTGATTTTGGTATTGGAAGCGCGTTTGGAAGTGGATTTGGAGGTTCGTAGGTCATTTTGGAGTCATTCGGCTAAAGTTAGAAATTTGAAGGATTTGAGAAGTTTGACCGGAAGTGGACTTTTTGATATCGAGGTCGGATTCTGATCCCGAAAGTTGGAGTAGGTCCGTAATGTCGAATATGACTTGTGTGCAAAATTTGAGGTCATTCGGGCGTAATTTTATAGGTTTCGGCATCGAATGTAGAAGTTTGAAGTTATAGAGTTCATAAAGCTCGAATTGGGGTGTGATTCGTGATTTCGGCGTTGTTTGATGTGATTTGAGGCCTCAAGTAGGTCCGCGTTATGTTATGGGTCTGGTTAGTGTGATTGGACGGGGTCCTGGGGGCCTCAGGTGGATTCCGGGTGGTTAACGGATCGAATTGGAGTTGGGAGGAAGAGCTGAAGCCTGCTATCATTTGGTATAACCGCACCTGCGAGGTCTTGGCCGCAGGTGCAGAGCCGCAGAAGCGGCCTTGGTGCCGCAGAAGCGGGAGTGGCTAGGCTAGGCTGGGACCGCAGATGCGGTCATCTTGCCGCAGAAGCAGGACCGCACCTGCGGAAGGAAGGGCGCAGATGCGGAAGTTGAGGGCCTGGAGGAGGACCGCAGAAGCAGTCAAGTGACCCTAGGTGCGGAAATGCTGGAGGCAGTGAGGTTCTTTAAATCGGCGGTTGGGTTCATTTCAACCCCATTTCTTCCATTGGAGCCGATTTTGGAGCAACATTGAGGTGCCATTTTCACCACCAAGCATGAGGTAAGTGGTTTATGCTAGTTTTGAGTTAAATACATGATTGTATATGGGTTTGAGCATGAAAATTTGTAAAAAACTTGGGGTTTGAGGGAAAACCTAGAAAATTGGTATTCTTGGATTTTGACCACGATTTTGGGCATGAAATTGAGAGTAAATTATATATTTGAGTTCGGGAGGTTATGGGTAAAGTTTATCTTCAAAAAATTTTGGAATCCGGGCACGTGGGCCCGAGGGTAATTTTTATCGACTTTTCGATCGGGGTTAGAAATTATTATAAATTGGATTATTATGAGTAATTGAACATGTATTAATGGATTTACATAATTATTGGCTAGTTTTGGAACGTTGTGCATCTATTTGAGTCATCGGAAGGGCTTGGAAGCCAGTTATGGAACTTCAGAGCGAGGTGAGTCTCTTTTATAACCTTGTAAGAGCGAATTCTCCCCATAGGTGAATTAATTGGATATGTACCTCTATTTGTGCGGGCTACGTACGCACGAGGTGACGAGAGTCCGTGTGTAGCTACTATTATGCTTTAAGTCCGGGTAGTCTAGGACCCAAAAGCATGCTTTACTTGTAATATTTGCAACCTTGTTGTCAATTTAAAATACTTAAAATATATCGAACGTGTAAATAAATTTCTAAAAGGCTAGACATCGTTTCTTGACTTTTAAAAGAGAAATTTCCTTTTCTTGAATAATTGCTCCTTGATGAATTCTTGATTGACTGTTTGAATGTGTTTATCTATTGTGGAACGGGCCGAACGCCTCGCTAGATTAAATAGATGCATCTATGGTTCGTGTCATTCGACCCTCTAGCAGTGCACAGTTTAAATATTTATTGGATCGGGCCTTGCGACCTTGGCATGATTTGTGCATGCTTGTATTGCTTGACTTGCAATCTAATAATGATGATATTGCTTCCCTGACTTGAGGTAAATGTATAAATGATGAAAATGAATTTGAAAGTTCCTATTAATAAAAGAATTGTTCACCTGCTTCATGCTATTAAGTTACAACTATTTTTATATAAATCCTCGATTTGCTATATTATTGGTATATTATTATTGAACCACTAGTAAGTGTCGAAGTCGACCTCTCGTCTCTACTTCTTCGAGATTAGACGGGATGCTTACTGAGTACACGTTGTTTTCGTACTCGTGCTACACTTGCTGTGCATTTTTATTGCACAGGCACATGTATCTCTAGTGGCGTAGTGGGCGTAGCAGCATGGTTGATACGGAGACTTAAGTGAGCTGCACTTCTCGAGATGACCCGCAGCCAGCAAAGTCTCTTTCAGATTACTGTATTTACTTTCTGTCCAATTTGTATTTCGGAGGGTTGTTGTATTACATTATTTCCTAGAAATAGCTCATGCACTTGTGACACCGGGTTTTGGGATGTCTATGGGATTATTCAGTATTTTAAAATTGTTAAGGGTATCATTATTTATTCAGTGGAATTTATTATTTATTGTTTAAACGTATAAAAGAAGTGATTTTAGAAATATCTAAAACGAGAAATTTCTAGTTATTTGGTGTTGGCTTGCCTGACAATGGTGTCCGTCGCCATCACGACCCTTAGTGGATTTTGGGTCGTGACATAGGATCTTACTCGTTAGAGTTTGTTGAGGCTCTTGATACTATATAAGAACAAAAGAGACACAAAAAGTTGATTTATTTATTGAATCAAAGCAACCTTTAAATACAAGAGTGAAAAACCAATTCTCTAAACTAACTCCTCTGGAAGAGAAGGACTAAACTACTTGCTAAACAAACTCCTTGAATAAGGAGATTTACTTGAGAAAATAAAGGAATAACAAAATCCTAACTACTAGCTAAAGAATTGGTCAACGTAGTAAAGTAGCTGATAGTTAACTTATGCTCTAATATAATTCCAAATTCTTCCTGTTTGGACCATTTCTCGATTTGTGTTGGGTAACCCTTACATGAAACGGCTAATTGCAAAGTACTACCAGAGCTTCATTTTTTTTCTTGCAATATTAGAGAAGGGAAATATTGTGCTAAGCAGCATAGGAGTGGCATTGTTCATATTGAAGAAATAGTCCATCGAGGAAATCTTGAGGGGATAGCCTAGTGTTTGAGGCATGAGGAGTAGCAACATGGAAGTCTCGAATTGTAATCCCAGTTAATAGCACTTAGTGTAACATATCTGTTTAGAAGTATCTTGTTAACCTGTGCTTTTAGACTGACAAGCTGTCAGATGAATTAGATGAAGTGCATGCAAGTTATTTGAACACAAGCAACGTAAAAAATTTAAAACAAAAAGGAATTCCAAACCTTTTTGTAGTTCCAACAAGAGAAAATTCAATCAAGATTTGATTATCTTCATGTATTTACAAAAATTCTCTTTCTATCTTTTTGTAGCCGCACACATGAAAGAGAAGTCGTAAACAATTTTAGTTGAAGATGTTTCAAATAAGGTATTGGATAATTTTCTTACATTATACTCAAATGATTCAGCCCCATATATACATATGAAGAATGTCCTAACTAAGATAACTAGATCTCCTAATTCATAGAACTCAACTATAGCAATATATAAAAGAAACGATAATTATAGCCTAATAAGCAGTGATTCTGTAACACTTCCCCTCAAGTTTGAGCATAGATATTTATCATGCCCAACTTGCTACAAAAGTAATCAACTTGAGCTCTATTCAACGTCTTTATGAACAAGTCAACTAGTTATTCTCCTGTCTTTACATAGCCAATTGAAATCAGTTTTTCCTTAATCTTCTCATGAATAAGATGATAGTCAATCTCAATATATTTGGTTCTTTTATAATATACCGAATTTGAGGCCATATGGAAAGCGGCTTGATTATCACACTAAAGTTTTGCTGAAGTAGAATGCTTAAATCCAATTTCAATTAAAAGTTGATATATCCACACGACCTCACATGTAGATTATTCCATTGCTCTGTACTCAGATTCTGCAGTAGACTGAGATATAATATTCTACTTCTTACTCCTCCATGATACCAAGTTTCCGCCAACAAGCACAATAACCGTTAGTAGATCTTCTATCAATTTTCGATCCAACCTGATCTGCATCTGCAAAACACTTCATACGAAAATGCCCGTAATTGCTACACAAATTGCCAAGTCCAGGCGCTCCTTTTAAGTAATATAGAATCTGTTCCAAAGTTGCCCAATGTTTGACTGTAAGTGCAGGGATAAACTGGCTAACGATACTTACTGCAAAAGTAATATTTGAACGAGTCACAATGAGATAGTTTAGTTTTCCAACTAGCTGTCATGTACCTCTCT